GTCTAACATTCCATTTTCTAACTACTTTATGAATGGGAACTTAACATATTCAGAAAAATAAGTATTTCTTAATTCATGAATAATAAAAACCCATGTTTCTGAAATCTTTATTTTTTTTGTTTTTTTAAATGTTTATTTATTTTTGAGAGAGAGAGAGCACACACGCATGCAGGTGAGGGGCAGAGCAAGAGAGGGGGACAGAGGATCTGAAGTGGGCTCTGTGCTGACAGCAGAGAGCCTGACGTGGGGCTCGAACTCACAAACCGTGAGAGCATGACCTGAGCTGAAATCAGCTTAACTGACTGAGCCACCCAGGCACCCCTGAAATCTTTATTTTGATGCTTGTCACAACAAGCATTAATGCTTCCATAATGGAAAATCTATGATTTACTTACCTTCATACCTAGGATTATCTGTTTATTAAAACAATAAGCCTTTCACAACAGTAACATCACTAAAAAAACCCAAACAAAAACTATTCAACTGACCTGCAAGTTTCTCTTGTTTCAGCAATTTCTCTCTGCTCATCTTTGCTATTTAACACAGCACCAATGCTGTCAGCACTTTCAGCTCCCAACTGAGAAAAGGCAAAATGAAAAATTAGATCACAAAGCACTGGATTGCCTTTCCAGACATTTGTAGCAACATTTAATATATCAAGTATTAAAAAAAAAAAACAACCAAAAACCCTAACTACCTCAGCAAGCAAATGGCTTAATTACCTTGCAGGAAAAACAGGAAATACCTTGGAACAAAACTGTGTTAATTAAGAACAAATCTGAGAGTTGGCAAGCATTTTATACTTTCATTATATTTGAAATTAAGACAGTTTTAGCCGATCCTCTACTTTTTAAGTAAATAATAAAACATAATTTGGTAGTAGGAGCAATAACAACAAAAAAGCAACTAACATATAGTATACATAGTGTGGTAGGCACTATGTTAAACACTTTGCATCCATCAGCTCACATATTATACCTTATTTATCCCATGCTGTAATAAATATCTATCCAGTTTTATTCAAGCCAAGTCTTTATATAGTGATTTACAGGCACAATACTAAATTTTAATACCTAAAAAATGGGTATGAAAATTATGTTTAGCAGTTGGGAATTTTGCAAAATACAACAAGTTACTAGTTGAGATAGGCTGGCTACATAGGATCAGTTCATGGAAAATTTTAAAAGCCAAACCAACAGGGGCACCTGAGTGGTTCAGTTGATTAAGCGTCCAACTTGAGCTCAGGTCATAATCTCACAGTTCATGGGTTCAAGCCCTGCTTTGGGCTTGTGCTGAAAGTGCAGAGCCTGCTTGGGGATTCTGTCTCTCCCTCTCTCTCTGCCCCTCTCCCACTTGTGCTCTCTCTCTCTCGAAACACATAAATAAACCTTAAATAAGTAAATAAATACGAAACCAACAAGTGCAGAATGCAATTTGCAGGCCATGAGGAACCATTTAATACTTTTAAGTACAAGAAGGACAGGAGGAAATCTGCACTAAATAGCCTTTTAGCTCAGGAAAGGGAAGAAGATACACTAAAATATCTGAGCTTCTAGTCCCCAGCCTTGATCTTAAATAATTGTCACTGTCTTTTTATCTGCCCACTTCATGACCTCCCTAAGGTTTCTCCAATATTAAATCTCTTCCAATTATAACTGTTGCTGAAATTTTAATTCTTCCATAAAATCTTCCTGAACCCTATTCTCATTAGTTAGAAGACACATCTACTTCCCATAGTTAAATGTTAACTTTTTTCCCTGTGACTGCCTCCTCTGTTTGGATGACTACAAGTTAGCTCCTTAAAGAGTACAAAGAATAGCCTGCTTCCACTTTTCTCCTTTTTATCTTATTTCCTATTCAGATCATAGCACTTAATACAGCTTTCAATGATTTTACGTTTTACTTTTGTTTATTCCCTATTTATATTGTTTCATCATCTATCACAACTTCCAAGTATTTTTATACTTCAATTATTTTATCTTTACTTTTATTTACTTCTCCCCAAGTGACATGTAAGCTCCCTAAAGGGATGAACTCTGTCTTCTTTGTATTTGTATGTTTAGCACCTTGTATAATGCCTGACTCATAGTAGATGCTCAATATTTGAATGAACCTAGATTTCCTACTAGAGCCTACATTAGAATACAATGTATTACAATAGAAATGCCTTAAGTCAAAATTCTGTTCATATATAATTGTTATCTCATGCCCCCCCTCCAAAATCATGGAATGACTGGAATAGGTAAATCATAGATTTTCCATTATGGAAGCACTAAATATATTGAGTAATTAGGAAAATTTGGTATCATTTAAAAGCATATAGCATTTAAAAATTTTTTTTAAAAATTTTGGGGTGCAGAGGGAGAGGGAGAAGGAGAGGGAGGGAGGGAGGGAGGGAGAGAGGGAGAGGGGGAGAGGGGGGGAGAGAGAGAGAGAGAGAGAGAGAGAGAGAGTGAATCTTAGGCAGGCTCCACGCTCAGCATGGAGCCTGACCCAGGCCTCAATCCCATGACCCTGGGATCATGACCTCAGCCAAATCCAGAGTCTGATGCTCAACCAACTGAGCCACCCAGGCACCCTTGTATGATTTTTTAAAATAAAGGTACAGCTAAGTAAAAAGCAGGCATAAATGGCTGATGTTTAACAAGTAACAACAAGTAACAAGTAACATAAATAACGTACTTAACAGTAAGGACAACATAAGCTCCATGGAAGAGCCTAATAAGCCAGAGAGAGATCACAATAGCTTTCATTACAAAGTTCTGATCTGAGCTGTGCTATAGAGGATGGACAGAATCAGAAAGTTAGGAGGACAATTTTTACAAAAATCATAAAGTATTTATTGCACAAATCACATTCTGGAGAGTAACAAACCATTCTGTATTGTTCATATGGAGGACAACTGAAAGAAAGGCTGAAATTAGCTGGTAAAGTGGAAGTCTGTCAATGATATTGGACATTTTTACTTAAGTGAAATGGTTCCTATCCAACAAGAAGAGTAGGAGGCAGCTAGTGTACTAGAGAGAGCATAGAAAGGCCTAAAACTGCAGCTTGTGAACTTACCAGTTTTGTGGACTTCAGTATGTAACTTAATTTTTCTTTAATATTTAAGTAATCTCCACACCCAATATGGGGCTCGAAGTTACAACCCCAAAATCAAAAGTCCCATGCTCTACTGATTGGGTCATTCAGGCAACCGTTAGTCATGCAACTTAAATTCTTTGAGCTGTTTTCTGCATCTATAAGATGCAAATAGTATCTGACTTGTATGAATGAAGATAATGTATATAAAAAGCTTAGCAGAGTCTTGATACATAGAAGGGATACATAGAATAAACAGCACCCATTATTAAATTTTATGCACTATGTAAGCTCTTTTAGGGTAGGGACTACTTTTTATTCACAGTTGAATTGCCAATGACTACTAGATCCCCTGGCACATAGTAAGACACTCAAAAAATAATTGTTTATGGATGCATTTTGACTCAAATAGAAGTTTGAATTGAAAACTAAAGAATAAGAACCTTTTTCCGTGGTAACAAAGCTATTAAACATTTTGAAGACAACATGCTAAAACAAATTGGGAAAAAGAAGGCCTGGAAAAGATACCGGATTTGTCCTAGATCATGCCAGAGGGACAGAACAGATCTGATTCCAAATTCCCACATTTTAAACACTATACCATAAACCTTTTCATTGGATCATAAGAGTATAGGTTTCAGATTTCCATTTACTAAAACTAAGTCTCATTTCTGAAAAAAAATAACATTAAGATGTCTCATTACAGCCTCTTAGCATTTCCTCCATCACTTTTACTAATATGAATGACAGAATGGGAAACACAGCCTCTTAGAGTAGAAGTGTACATCTGCATTTTCTGCATGTGCACTCTCCTAATCAAGTGTTAGCTTATACACAAGAAGCGGTGAAACAAGCTTTGGAGAGACAAACCTGGGATCAATTTTCTGGCCTAGCGATGAGTGACATGAAGCAAAAATTACTTAACCTCTCTGGCCTCTCTTTCTTTATTCGGTAAGTGAAGATAATGCTACCTGTTTCAAGGATTTGCTACAACTGATAGGAGTTACGAATTCATACATGATCGGTGGGTGATGACGAAGACACCATACACATAGCACAGTGGACTGCAACACAAAAGATGCACAATCTAAAATTTACGTTCAGGCTACTTCCGATGCAGTCTTTAGACATGATCCCAAAGAAAATACTATGAATCTATTTCACAAGGAAGCCACAATCTCAACAATGAGGTGCTAAGAAGAAAGGCAAAACACAGAATACGATGTAAACAGTGAAAAGAAACTTAGTGGATAACAAGTCACTCCTTGCGTGAACTACGGTAATTTATTTACAAAGACCAAATCTTTGTATCCCCATCATTGAGCCCTGCGCCAGACACTAGGCGATTCTATAATGTTGCTGAAGACCAAGAGTGGCATTCGGTTTAGCAACACCACAATCGCTGCACAAAATGGAGAATATTCGGGGTACTGCGTTAGACGAGAACAAGGGTAGGTAGGCCTTAGGATCATGGTCGCGGGACCAGAAAGGCAGGTTCCGCAGTAGATAGGGAAAGACAGCGGGGCGAAGGGCAGGGGAGAGAAGCGGGAACCGCGCACGCGCATTCGCGATCCCTCCCTGGGCCGCGGACCTGCTGCGCCAGGAGCTGCCGCCGTAACTTCTGCCGCTCCCGGATCTCCTGCAAGCGGCTGTCCATATCCCAACTCTTGTTTCCCACTGCCCCGAAAACTTGACAATTAGCAGATAGTACCCTCCCAATTTTTCACCGGAGTCGGTGGAACAAGATTCGCCAGGACCTTCAAGCAGCAGGATGTCCCTTAGCCCTTTCTCAATAGGTATTTCCGGCGCGGCCAGGATTGGCTCGACTTAGCCGGAAGTCCCACCTCTTTCTTGACGGCCGCGATTTGGCGCCGCCAGGAAGGGGTCCAATGAGCCGTGTTGTGGCGGCGGAGGAGTCTCGGAAGACACTCGGCGGTCAGGCACCGCGTCTCTCTGAGGTGGTACCGTGTGGGCCCATCAGCCCACCTCGCGCTTGCGTTCTCTTCTGTGGTGTATCAGCACTGTTTACGAGGTGTGGGGCGTTTTGTTAATTATTTTTTCCATTAATTCTCCAGTTGCCAGTACTGACGGTTTAAAAATTGCCAGATAGCAGTTTTTCACTGGAAGCACAAACTCGAAGCAGAGTGCGAAGTTTGAACCCTGGACGATCCTTTACTAAGAGAATAGCCTTGTCTAGTTAATCGCCTCCTGAGTCCCAGCTTTGTCATTTGCCAAATGGGAATAATAAATGCCTATCTCACAAAACTGTGAAGATTGAAAGAATAAAAAGGGCCTGGCACGTAGCACCATGGAGATGTTTTAAGATTTTTATTATTATGTTTCCCTTCAAGCTGGGAACCACCTGTGATCCTTACCTCACTAGCTCTTGAGAAGTTTCCTATTTCATCATAATGCCGTATGGATACTGCGTGTGGAAAACTATATGGTTTCTTCCCTTTAGGGAAGTAGGTGGAGCATAGTAAAATGTGGTCTTGGTTCATGTCCTAGACGTCAGAGACTAGGGGACCACTTTTGTGCTTATACATTTGTCTTAGCTGGAAATAACCCTGGGATATAGAAACACCCTACTGGAATTAGGGAGGGTGAGGGTGGGCAGGGCACAGTGGGGATTCTCCGTAGAACAGCAACAAAGGCCAATGTCTTAAATTATTACTATTATTATCCACCACATTTGTCGTCTTATTCCAAATTCAAAACAGCAGAAGTAGACTAAGACATCATGTTGCCTCAAGTTTAATTGGAAATGGTGGCAAGTACTTACCACCATTAGTAACAAGTCTTTATTCTGTGAGAGTGAGTTTTCTTTTGGAAATTTATTAAATCCTCCAGATTAGAACCAGGTGACTCAGACGAGGCCAAAAGTGGGCAGGACTAGATTCTACTAATTATCCTGTGTTTCTCAAGAACTAGCTCTGAATGGCAATTTCAGACGTGTTCTGAAAATCCCTTGGGTAATAGCAACATTGTTTGAAAGTATATTAACTTTCCAGTGGCCAGTACTTTAAAAGACAGTACTAATTTGTACATATGAATGAAAGTGTTTCTTTAAAATCAGTTGCATCTCCTGCCAATCATTTGAGTACTGATTTGAATTATTTAACAGGATAGGAATAGGCATCTGTTCATTCAAATATTTATCCATATTTACTATTTTAAGTTGCACTTAACTGTGATAGACCCTAGAGTCTGTAAAGTCTATCAAAGACTAGAAACCAAATAAGTCTGTTTTGTTGTTGTTGCTGTTTGTTTGTTTTTGTAGAATTTACTATTTTTTTTTTTTCTGGCAAAGTGCAGGGTAGGTCATTTGCCTGTGGTCCTTGAGCCCCGTATGCACCTAAACTCTGCTCTGTGATCATAGTTGACCTGAGTGTGAGTCTGCAAACTACATTTCTCAACCTTGTCGAATGGTTTTCTGTAAGATTCTTCCAAGAGGAAGCATAGGCAGAAAAGCAAAAGGTGGAACACGGAAAGCTGTTATTCTTCATTTCCTCTCACTCTCTGCTTCTGGTCTCCAGGGGAATATCTGTGCCCTTAAAAAGTCCCAGAGCCAATTGTAGCAGCCCCTCCTTGGTGGGTCTGTCTTCCCTTTTCCCATCCTCATGTGGCATCCCCAGCGCTGAGTTTGCTTTCTACTTTGATAACACCACCCCCACCCTCTGTTCTACCAGCTTTAGAAGTGGTAGCCACTTGCAGCAGTTAAGAATTTCTAATTTAATCTCACTTTCCCCTTTTTGCTCTTCTAGCCTTCAGCTCCCATGTTAACGCTTCCCCATAGCAAATGCTGTCTGTTTAGAATTTTAAGAATGATTTCTGTATTCTTGCCTGGCACTCAGACTTATAAAGATGCAAATATGTTCTACTTTATAGTATTTACACAGCCGTTGGAATCCAGTGGAGGATTGTTGTAGTTTTTACAAATAAAGGGATATGACTCTGAAATCTTTCTCCCTACCAATGAACTTTAAAACTCCAGACCACATCAGCTCACCCGTAGAGTACTGTACATGCCTATCAGTAATATCTGTTCATCACGGCAACCTAAAGGTCTCCAGGGAGTGTGTGTTGTGGGGAAAGGAGGAAGAAGAAATTTGGAAAGTCTCCACATATAATTTATACTTTTTGAAAAAAAATTACTTCTAGATACTTATTTTAAGGAAGTAATGAGAAATCGATGTGACAATTTATGTATATCCTCCTAAACTCCTTGAGAATGAATCTTCAAAACCTGTATATCCAACGTCCTATTGTATATCTTACTAGGATGTCCTTCACAATCTCAAACTTCACAGGGATATAGCCTAAATTCATCATCCACCCCTGTCCTCTCAAAAAAAAAAAAAATATATATATATATATATGTATGTTTGTATACACATCTCCACCCATTTTCCCTAATAAGAAGCACTGTGCCTCTCCTTTACCCTCCATATCTACTCTGTGACTGTAGCATTCTCCCTGACGCCAGCCCTAACACCAACACACATAATAGTCAACCACAACCTATGAATAATATATGTCCTGGTTCATATCCTAATTGCCCTACCATTTTCCAGTTTATCAAATTCTTCCCAGAGATTTTTGGAAAACTATGATTTTATCATTTCCAACTCTGCTCAAAATTTTTACATGTTTCCTCAATGTCTAGGGCAGCACTTGTCCAATAGAACTTTCTATAATAATAGAAATATGCTACCTCGTAACCAATTTAGTTGCTACTAGCCATATTCATCCACTGAGCATTTGAAACCTAGCTAGTGTACTCAAGATACTGACTTTTTATTTGATTTTGACTAATTAAGTTTAATTAATCATATTTGACCTCATAACCAATTTAGTTGCTGCTAGCCATATGTATCCACTGAGCATTTAAAACCTGGCTAGTGTACCCAAGATACTGACTTTTTATTTGATTTTGACTAAGTTTAATTAATCATATTTGACTATGACTACCATACTGGACAGCACAGGTTTAGGTTCAAGGGGTTCAAAATCTAAACCACTTGACATAACATGCTAAGCAATCCTCTGCCACCCTGCCCAGCTTCATTCTGTTCTCTTGTATGAACCCAGTCTTTCAGGCATATAAAGTTTTGTCTTTTTTCCCCAAACATGCCTCTTTCTTGTCCTTTTTATGAATTTATAATTGAATAAGAGAAAAATTCTCCTAAATTAAAGAGAGAGGCTCCAAAATGACTTTTTAAAAACTGCAATATTTGGTAAGTAGAACTTCTTAGAAAAGCACTAACGGTAAAATGAATGTCAGAATCTGGTGATAACTTCTGCTTTCTCCCGGTGCCTTGTAAAGAACACACTCAATAGATGCTTATTGATGAACCTGTTGATTAGGGCTAACTCTCTCTAACTTACCCGAGCTTTGTTGGATAGATTGGTTGTGAGTAGCTGTGTTAGGGAGGGATAGGAGACTGCCAGTTAGCATTCTGTGTCTACATCATTGTTGGAAATTCATTCATTGCCATTAGGTGCAGAAACTTTCCAAGTCTGTGTATTTTTTTGTACTCAGTTGCTAAGATCCAGTGCATCTGTGGCACAAGAGAATATTTTACAAGCCTTGTTTGTCACATACATGGACTACGTAAGAAACAGGAGTGAAGATTGTTTTTCTTATCACTTGTCAATAGATTTTTTTAAAGAGTATTGTGATTACATAAAAACATCTTAAAGCATTGATTTCCTGGAGTATAACGTAAGAAGAGATACATTTCAGAAACTATATGTCATTATCAAATGGAAATGTATGGAGAATTGAATAAGCTTGATTTATTTGGGGAATTTGCACAAAACACCCAATTGTTTGGTCAAAATGACCAAAACTGACAGGAAAATGAGAAAAGGCAAGGTGAAAAGAGTAAAATAATACAGACTTTATAATGTCAATACATTTCACTGAATAGATGAAGAAAACTATTTAAATTTTGGTTATTGTAATGTTAATTTGCTGTGTTATTGGAGAAAATCAGTTCTGCTAGAGAGCACAGAATGGAATGGATGAATCCCATAGGATGTGGTAAGTATAGATAATAAGCAAGTAGTCGTGAGACATAGGCAGGATTCATAAGATGTGCTAAAAATAGATATTAAGTAACTGATAGATGTAAAGCTAAATAGACTAAATGACTATATGATGGAACAAGCAAAAGTGTTATTTATAGATAGAAAGGGATGGAAAGACCAAATTATGATCATGCCATCTCTAGGCTGACAGCCATGTTGTTGTGGGATCGTTGAGCATCATGGTCCAGAAAGAATTTTTAAGACGTTTTACAGTCTCTAATTTAAGTAGCTTTGGGATAGGACCTGTGGGCAGAAAGAGCTGCATTTTTGCTGTATGAAGCTGGTGGTTATATGCTTAGTGCTCAAGGGGTGGGGGCACTTGCAGAGCATATTGGATCATAAAATGTCTTCAAATTTTGAATCATAAAATTGCTCTTGCAAGATTTCTGTGGTACTTATCATTCAGTTCAATATTAACTATGGGTAAGATTTACAGGTAGTCATGAGACCCTTTAAGGATGTATCAACCAGCATGTATTTGATCCTTATCGAAATTATGCAGCCTATAGGTTAGCCATCTGGGCTAAAGGTGAACATTTTTCTGCTTCTATCCCTCATCAGTGTTACCCTTACGTGGTCCATCCATGGTTATATTCTGGACCCAAATGTACTCTGCCTAAGAATTGCTAATGATACCTATAACTGTTGGCAGGCTAACTGGCAAACTGCAGCTATGGACAAGAATATTTGTCACTGCTTTTCTACAGAACAAGTGTCTATCACTGGCCCCACGCACCTTCTCTCTGTTGACCTCCCTGCCTAAATGTCAGTCTGTCCCCAGCTCATCAGTGAGGAAGGCTGATACAGCATGCATGCACACACACACAGGGAGAGCGTACACATATAAACATTGAATAACTTGGGATTCATGGAGTGTAGTCCTTCCCACTTGCAACCTAAGTGTGGTAACTTACCCCATCTCTTTCCTGTTTGCTTTAAAGGGATGCGTGATTTGAGAATCTCCATTTGGTCTTTGAGCCTGTCTGTTCTGTGACCCCTGGGATAGCTTGGCTTGCAGTGTACTTGGAGGCCACCATTGCATCAAGGTAATTCCCCATGACAACTAGGAGAAACTTAGAAAAATAACAACATAGAACTGTAGAGCATAAGCCAATGTTGTATGAGAAGGGGAAAGGAAGGCAGTCATAAATTGAATCCATTAGGTACTAAAAGACAAAAATAGGCAAGTAAAGAGCAAACCGAAAGGTAAAATGTGGAAAATATTTCTTTTTCTCTAAATTGATTAATGGAAAAGGGAAAAAGACAAGATAAAGGAAAGACTCAGAGTTTTGACAGTGTTGCATATATATCTTTGATACCAATTATACTTTATTTATTGCTGTGACCAAAATAACTGTATCAGAGGTAAATACAACAAAATCCAAATGAAGGGAAATGCTCTTCCAACAAGTGGACTAATCCTAGAAATTCTTTTTAATTCACTCTACATAGTATTGCAATAGGTTTTTTTTAATGCTCATTACATTTTAAAGCATTTAAAGTATCAAGAAAAGAAAGAGGCTTTAAAACTACTTATAATTAGGAAGGAATGCATATAGAACACTACTTTCTATAAAAGTTTTTATTATTTGTGCACATTTTCTGAAACATTTCCTGTAAATCAATTCTTATTTAAATACACTAAAATTACAACTATTTTAAAGATCTGTGAGATAGAAGACTAAGTAAGTAAATATCCCTTTGTAATTAAAGTAGTTTTTTCCTAATTTACCTCTTTTATAATTTATTTTCTTTAATAGGTCGCTGTATCTGTTAGTATTATAGAAAATGTTGAGTTAAACACTTGTCTAAGTGAAATATATATAAGAGCATGTACAATTTTTCTCTAAGAAGATTACTATAAAATTATTTACATAGATGAAATTGTTTATGAAACAAACACATCATATTCTTATTCTGTGGTTCTTAAAAGAATATGAAATTTTATGATGTAGCTCATTCAAATTAATAGACTTATGCTGTTTTTAATTTGTTTGTTTTTACAACTTAATTCTTACTTTGAAATTGAGTATTCTCTCCCTCCAGAATTTGAAATGGTGAAAACAATTAGAAAGAGAAAATGTACTCTGTGATGAATCAAAAATAATACCCACATAAAAAGAGAGATTAACGGTATAATATTATCATGAAATACTGATTATATTTTTCATGATCTATTTGGGATTTGAGATATTTCTATTATTTTATAACTAAAAAAAGAAAAGGTAGAAGATCTCTTCTCAGAATTTACAAAGTACTATTGAACTTTATACCATTAAAGAAAATTATTATTGGGGCGCCTGGGTGGCTCAGTTGGTTGAGCGACCGACTTCGGCTCAGGTCATGATCTTGCAGTCTGTGAGTTCAAGCCCCACATCGGGCTCTGTGCGGACAGCTCAGAACCTGGAGCCTGCTTCAGATTCTGTGTCTCCCCCTTTCTCTACCCCTCCCCTGCTCACTCTCTGTGTCTCTCTGTCTTTCAATAATAAATAAATGTTAAAAAAATTATTATTATAAAGAAAGGTACTAGTGTAGAAATTTGGATTAGAAAAATACTAAAAATTATTTTTGTAACTTTATACTAAACACCGTAAAAATAGATTTAGTGGTATACATTCTTTAAAGCATGTGACATATTTTTGTAGCCAATGCAAATACTGTAGTTTTTATAATATTTAGAATTAAATTTCTGAATTGCAAAGAATTGTTTCAAATGAATATTAAAAGGCAATCCTAATGAAGATATTGAAAGCAAATGATGGCTAACATGCTAAATCTGTTTCATATTATAAAGGAGTGCATCAAAAAGAAATTGTTAGAGTCACCCTTCATTCTCCATTCCCAGGATTCTCCTCTGGGCATTTATGTCAGATGACCTAGGAATGTGCAGAATTAGTGTTTACTGGCCAGTCATTGGTTATTCAGAATTCACTCTGATTTGAATTATCTCTAATGTTTTTCTCCCATCCATTTATGGGTCACATGTACAATAAATCAAAGCATGTTGATCCTGGTGAAATTTAGCAAAGAAATAGAGCTTTGGCCATTGGCCACAAAAATTTGAAAATCTTTACTCAGGGGAAAAACATGGACATTTTCTCACCCTGGATAGTAGCTATTTTCTAATTTAAATTTTTAACTAAAATGGTTTGCTATTCTTCTAAAAACTGAACCTTGCATATGGTAAGACTTATCTCAAGCCAAAATGTACCGTTTCACTTTTGTAGTACTGTATTTACTGTTGAGTAAGTCAAATAATTCAGAAAAACTGGAAATCATATTATGAAGAAGCAACTCTCCCACATCTATTTCTAAGTCTAGATTGGTTTTTGCTGAAAACAGATATTCATAGTAGGAGGAAAAAGTACATAATTCTGTACTCATGTGTACACACATATATGCACATATGTATATGTGGTAATAGGACAATTTGGAAGAAAAATTGTTAAAATGTATAGGAATAGTACTTTTGTATTTAGAATACTGAATAAGGATTCATTCATCAAACAAATTAATTATTTTCTTCTGCTAGCCTTTGCGGGAGGCTGGTTCTTCCCCTATCCCTGGATGAAAATTTAAGCAGTTTTCATGTTTTTTTCTGGTCATTCTTAGGTATTAGGAAGAGTTATATGTTAAAGCTTCAGTCTCCATTTAACAATAACAGTATAAGGTCAAAATTTAATTCTGACTTTTGAGTTTAAGGCTTCTCTCCTTGCCCACCTCCAGGCGAGTTGCAGGCCTAAAGCTATCAGTCCATGAGGTAGAGAAAGGAAAGTATAGTCTGCTGCTTCTCTTTCTCCACAAGGATACTCCAACTCCATCTTGGTTAGGCCTACAGGCCCTCCCAAGGTTGTAGTGTGGGGACAGAGGAGTTTTATTGGAAGCAGCTTACAGGAAAATTTCCTACTAAACTAGTACTGTCTTCTTGATCTAGCATTGCCACTTTCTGGACTTGGCAGATGTTTAAAATAGACTCTTGTTCTCATGAGCATTTTCATGGGTTCTTCCAAGACCCACTCCACTCTCCCTGTGGGTTCTGATAACAAGAGCTAATGCATGTTGTCCTTCTGGTCCTTGGCTTTATTTATTTACTTAGCTTCTTTTTGCAGAAGACTATTTTTTTTTAAGTTTATTTATTTATTCTGAGAGAGAGAGTGATCAAGGGAGGGACAGAGAGAGAGGGAGAGAGAGAATCCCAAGCAGGCTCTGCACTGACAGCGTGTAGCTCAATGTGGGGCTCGAACTCACAAACCCGTGAGATCATGACCTGAGCTGAGATCAAGAGTCGGATGCTTAATCGACTGAGCCACCCAGGCTCCCCCTTTTTGCAGAGAACTATTTACCCATCTTAGCCATGTGTGAGCAGGACCTAAGAAAACTCCATGCTGGCTTTCTTAAGTGAGTGGTACACATTTGGTTCACTGGGAAATCACATTGTTTGCCCCAACAGACTCTGAGAATAGGATTTTATTGCTGGGATTCAGGAAAAGCAGAAATCCTGTTACAGAGTTACCACTCCACAACAGCCATGTTACCCCTGCATGTCTCTGGCCTCTGAGGACTACCCAGCTATTCTCTAGCTTTCTGGATTTTGCAAATGGGAAGTAAACACACCCATGTCCCCCAGACCTCAAGTTCTGCTAATGGCCTCCTTAAAGCTTCTCTCTTCATTTAGGATGAAGAGGGACTACCATCTACTTCTCTTCTTGAGAGGAAGGATGCTATCACAGCATAACAACAGTGATTCTTGAAAACCTTCTCCTCCAATCTTTAATTCTCAGTCATTTGAGACCTTTGAAGTGGGTGAAGTCATTCAGAGTCTTACATCCAATTATCCTCAACTTTTTCGTACAAATCTTTACAGGGTGGTTATGATCTTCACTTTGGAATGTAGTATTTACTCTTTTGGGGTCTTAGCCAAAACTTCCACAAGTCCTGTTTTACATTAAGTGGAAGATGTCCTTCTGTGTATGTAAATTAAACTTTTTATATATATTAAACACTTTGATTTTGAGATAGTTATAGATTCTCATGCAGTTGTAAGAAATAATACAGAGAGATCCAGTGATCCTTTATCAATTTCCCCCCAGAGGTAACATTTTTCAAAACTGTAATATAGTACCACAACCAGGATGTTGACATTGACAGAGCATTTCCATCATCACAGGGCCCCTCATGTTGTTCCTTTATAGCAATACTCACTTCTCTCCCACTCACACCTTCTCCTCAACCCCTGGAAACCACTAATCTGTTATCCATTTCTATCATTTTGTCATTTCAAGAATATTATATAAGTGGAATAGTACAGTGTGTAACCTTTTGAGATTATCTTTTTACACTCAACATGATTCTCTGGAGATTCATCCAGATTGTTGTGTGTGTCAACAGTGTGTTCCTTTTTTATTGCTGAGTAGTATTCCATGAATTGGATATACCGTAATCTGTTTAATCATTCATGTGCAGTAACATGTCTGATGATATGATTGATGAAGGACATATAGTTTGTTTCCAGTTTTTGTTATTGTGCATTAAAACGATGATGAGGGGGTGCACCCGGATGGCTCAGTTGGTTAAGCGTCTGACTTTTGATTTCAGCTTAGGTCATGATCTCATGGTTTGTGAGTTTGAGCCCCACATTGGGCTCCATGCTGACATTGTGGAGCCTACTTGGGATTCTTTTTCTCTCTGTCCCTCTCCTGCTTGCGCACACATGATTTCTCTCTTTCAAAAATAAATAATAAGTAAACTTTAAAAGAAAAAGTGACTGGGGCGCCTGGGTGGCGCCCGGTTAAGCGTCCGACTTCAGCCAGGTCACGATCTCGCGGTCCGGGAGTTCGAGCCCCGCGTCGGGCTCTGGGCTGATGGCTCAGAGCCTGGAGCCTGTTTCCGATTCTGTGTCTCCCTCTCTCTCTGCCCCTCCCCCGTTCATGCTCTGTCTCTCTCTGTCCCAAAAATAAATAAACGTTGAAAAAAAAAATTAAAAAAAATAAATAAATAAAATAAAAAAATAAAAGAAAAAGTGACTATAAACATTCATATGAGGTTT